CTATAGAATATGTGTATATATATATCTCACAAATGGAGAAGTCTCAATCAAGGATTCTACTATATTATAAAAGAGAGTTTAGGCCCAAATATAATATATAATATTCAAGATTGGGAAAAGTCCCAATCTTGAATATTATATATTATATTTGGGCCTAAACTCTCTTTTATAATATAGTAGAATCCTTGATTGAGACTTCTCCATTTGTGAGATATATATATACACATATTCTATAGTATTTTAAAAGGGAGTTTATGCCCAAGTTCTACTATATAATAAATATAATATATAATATTGAAGAAACTTCCTTTTAAAAATCCCACAAGTATAATATATAATATTCAAGATTGGGAAAAGTCCCAATCTTGAATATTATATATTATATTTGGGCCTAAACTCTCTTTTATAATATAGTAGAATCCTTGATTGAGACTTCTCCATTTGTGAGATATATATATACAAAAATGTTGTATGTGGGTAGTCTTATTATGCCTTAAATAGCGTCAAACAAAGTACAGGTTTGTGATAAAAAAAACTTATTCCTTTATCCACGCAAACAATCGCTTCAAAAACTCAGTTATTAGCCCCAAAATATACAATTTATATTATTGGGCCCGTGCATAGCACGGGCAACATTATCTAGTTAGTAATATAAGAATTAGTTATGAGTATTTATATATTATTTTATTTAGGTATGAGTTATTCAAAGTTTATCTATTCATTTATCAATTATTTTATATTTTATTTTAACTAAGATAATATATATATTTTTTATAAGTTATATTTAATAAGCATTACTTATGGAGAATTTAATTTTTTGCATAACTCATCTTAAATTAATTTTCGAATGAACCCAAGTCCCAAGATATGTATGAAAATTAATTTTGAGGAGAGTTATGTAAATTAACTTTAAAATATTCATTTTAAAATTTTAACCTTAGTGAAATGATTTATAACTACATAAATATTTAAGATTTATTTCAAATCATAAATTTTAAAATATTTTATTCTTCATTTTTTAAAGTTCGTATCGAGTTAAACTATACTCCCTTTGTCCAACAATAGTCATCTACTATTGACTTGACACACACCTTATGGAATATTAATAAATAATAGGGCTAATATTACTACATTATTGTTTAAATATATTAAATTTAATACTTTGAAAAATGCATTAGATAGTAAGGGTGGATGTTCGGTTCTTTGGTTCGGTTTTATCAAACTTCGATTCGATTCTTCGATTTTTAGTTTTAGAAAAACGTGCACCGTATACCAAAGTAAACTAATTCAGTTCAGTTTAATTCTTTCTACTTCGATTCGATTTAATTCGGTGTCTTTAAAATGATTTTTTGTGTGAATAAAAAATAAAAATGAGAACAAAATTAAAGTATATAAGATACTTAAAAACTTAAAACTATGTTAAAGGATGATGTGTCTCGCTATGGAACACTTATTGTGCTAACTAAAAGACTACATTTGTCAAGAACATTGTGCCTACAACTCTCGAGTAAAACAAGGACGAAGACGGGTTCCTTTACATAATGTACAATGATAAAAATATATTGAGTTCTTCCTGAAAATTAATATTTGAAGTTAACTATTGAATTATAAATTTGTAAATACTTTGATTTGTTCATGAATGATTTAATTGTAAGTTGACCTTTTATTTTAGTTAAGGGAATGACCATATATATATATTATGTTATTTTTTTGAAAAAAAATGTTTGGATCTTCGGTGCACCAAAATTTCGAGACCCTTACACTGAATCGAAAAATCAAACTTTAGAAAAAATAGCACCGATACCAAATTGAAAACGAAGAATCGAATTAGTTCGGTTCGATTTTTTTTAGTACATATGTTCACCCCTATTAGATAGTAAATAATATTTAATAGAAAGAATAAATAGATAAAAAAAAAAAGGTAAATTTTCTTTTGATTTTCCAAATTAAACGAGTAGTATTAGATAATTATTTTTAATATAATGAACAAATAAAAATAGACAAAAAAATATATCATATAAATTAAGATAGATGAAATTGATGGATAAAGTATATATTTTCACAAAGGAAATTACTTCTTGACCACTGTTGTGCATAAACAGAGCCCAAGAAGAAAAAAAAAGAAAAGAAAATTGTGGTGTAAGCAGATCACACACTTCCCCTCCACAAATCCAAATTTGTGAATTATCCATTCTCACATCCCCATCTTCTTTATCCCCCTTATTAACCAAAAACCCCTCAAACTTCATATTAACCCCTTTTCAAATCTCAACAAAATCATCACAAAAAAAAAAAAAAATGATTATAAATCTTTCTCCTTCTTCTTGTTCACTCTCCCTCTCAAGATTCATTAATTCCAAATCACATATTTCAAGATTGACTAAAACTCACTTTTCAAAATCTTTATCTTCCTCTTCCTCTTCAACTTTTCATTCCAAGAATCAGTTTTTACATGAAAAGAACAAATACCCACTTGGTAGAAGGAGAGATTTCAGGAGTTGGGTAATTCCTGGATTTGATTTTGGTAGTAATTTTGAGAGTACACAGTCAGTTTTGGAAGCAGTTGGTGTTTTAACAGCTATTATTGTAGTTCATGAAAGTGGTCATTTTCTTGCTGCTTATCTTCAGGGTATTCATGTAAGTAAATTTGCTGTTGGGTTTGGTCCAATTTTAGCTAAATTTAATGCTAAAAATGTAGAGTACTCACTTAGAGCATTTCCTCTTGGTGGGTTTGTGGGTTTTCCTGATAATGATCCTGATAGTGATATTCCTCCTGATGACAAGAATTTGCTTAAAAATAGGCCTATTTTTGATAGGGTTATTGTTATTTCAGCTGGGGTAATAGCTAATATAATATTTGCTTATGTGATAATATTTACTCAAGTGTTGTTAGTTGGATTACCTGTGCAAGAATCCTTCCCTGGGGTTCTTGTGCCTGATGTAAGACCTTTTTCAGCTGCATCTAGAGATGGATTGCTTCCTGGTGATGTAATTTTAGGTGTTAATGGAATTGATTTAGGGAAAAATGGGCCTAGTTTGGTTACTGAGGTTGTTGATGTCATCAAGAAAAGTCCGAAGAGAAATGTGTTGCTGAAGATAGGGAGAGGAGGAGGGAGTGTTGATGTTAGAGTTACACCTGATGAGAATTCAGATGGTACGGGTAGGATTGGAGTTCAACTGTCACCAAACTTCAAGATTTCGAAAGTTCAGCCAAAGAATTTACTTGAGGCATTTAGCTTCTCAGGGAGAGAGT